TATTTGATTTTTTGGACTATTCGCGATTAATACAAGTCGCAACACTATAAAGTTAATCAATATAAATATCTATGAAACAAAACAGTTCATGTAAAAGAAATCAATCAAAATCGCGAACTCATAATTCGTAAAACTAAATCAACCCGTGATTAATTACTCGCAACACTAAGTACAAAAATCGCGATTTGCCCAAGACAGGATGGTGGACCGATGAAGATCGGCCAGTAAACAAACTACTACTACTACAACTACATACTACAAAATATGAGCATAGTGACAAAGTAGTGACAAGAATGACTTCTCATCCAAAGGATAGGAAGCCATTCCTAGGCACCCTTTTCGTGACAGTTTGTCGGGTACCTAATAGCCTCTTCTTCTTTCTTCGGGCGCCATGCCCGCTGAAACTTATATCTAGGCTCGAGATTCTCTAAACCAGCTTCACCGTCGACTATTCAAATGACATTTCCTGAAACAGGTTGTGCACGCGAAACGCGCCTACCCGACCTGAGACTGTGCCAACCTGCCCGGCCCTACCTACTTATAGTTAGCAGGCACACCAGATTATACTACCTACTTAACTCCTCCTATATTTAAAAAATGGCAAAAATCAAGCATTCCAACACACCACACTCCACGGTTCTCACACATACCACCCGGGCGCAAAGATCCTACACTACAGTAAGCGTCCCGGGACGCCCCCGACACCCAAGTTTGGCTACATACACACTCTAACTTTACGTACCATTTCCTGAAATCGGCTGACGACGGCTAGAGACCCTTGCGTAACGCGCGATATTAATCATTCGGCAAATACGAATATGTTAAGGAGAATAATATCGTTAAGACATATGGTACGAGAAATAATAACATTATCGTAAATTGATAGCAAGATTGTAAATTGCATCGCGGTTATGCTATGAATAATCTGCTGTAACTGATAGCAAATTATGTTTTCCTATTCCAAATAAATGTACGAACGACGTAATTCCACATCCTAATCACAGACACACCATGTGGAAAATACGTCGTGCACGATAATCTAACGCGTCGTCAGCCGCTAAGAGATTGTTATAAGCTTATGAACTAAGGTCATCATGCCCATCGCCATTCACCCACTCAAGTAGCACCTGGGCACGTGAATGAGTTCCTGGCAACGAACACGGAAGGGGTTAAACCTGAAAATCCTGAGCTAGAAAACTGATTAGCGACATATCTTTTATTTAACGGACTAATTCTTCCATCTTGTATTTTCTCATTTCATTCGTAATGACTTTACTTTACAAGTTTTAAAAATTTCAATATTGGAAGAAAATATTCATAATCAATAAGAAATGTATGTATCAAAAGAAAAGGGAGACTAGGACTCGACGTGATGAAATAATTGACTTTAATTTATATAACAATGGAAATGTAATAAAACCTCAGACGATTCCTTCACCGAAGTACATCGTATTCGAAAGCACAAAAGTACAAAAGTTATTACTTTGGTTCCAAAATCTATCTATCGCGAAATGTTTTCTTGCACTTAATGTCCAATGCATTTTAGCATTAACGGAATGTAACAGTGATACTATTATGTTTTGAATTCGACTCAGATGTATTGCATACGAGTCAAAGAATTAAATATCTCAATATTATCAAAAGACAAACAGTGGCATTGGCTCTTGTTTATTAAAGGAACAATAAATAGCAATACATAATCATTGTTCCAATATATTAATTACAATTTTCGTAATAACGAAGTCGAAGGGCATTCGACTTCTCCACTAAAAAATAATCAAATATTCATGTCTATTATTTACAAATAACAGTACTAAACATATTTTCATTTTAAAAGTGGCTATAGTAACAAAAAGCTAATAGTCAATATTATATTATTTATGCCACTAATATTATATGTGCCAATGTACCCACACTAACTTCTCATATTCCTATTATTATTGATCAAAAACGCGAAGTGCAAGAAAACCTATCCTGAACTGATAAATAAAACACAAAAGAAATTTTGTCACTACTCTCGAGTATAATAAATACCCGAGGTCACTATGCTCATAAGAAATTCTACGTAATACAACCAGTCATCCGTGTCGGTTCGGACCTTTCGTCCTACGACATGATTGAATGACCAGAGGAACCAAAATGCATGCGACTCACCAATGATGCGGAGAACGATGATGTAGTGGCTCAGAGGAAGTCATCGTGAAGACAACTACTGTTATATCATCAGGGCGCAAATATTTGAAGAGTCTAATTTCATACGATTGATTTAGATATATTCACTTACAATATGCAAAGGTACTTACATTCTTGAAATCTGGAGCAGAGATGAATAATGTCCAGGGAAGGACTGACTTCAATGCCATGAGACTTGTCGGATCTACGGAAAAACATGTAACACGTTGAATAATAAAATTTATTCTTTAAAAAAATAAATTGATTCAATTACAGTGTGCAAACATACTTACATACTTACGTTCTTGGATTGCAGAGCAGCCTTGAGTCCACTCCTGGTTAAAGTCGACTCTAATACCGGTAACGAACATTAAAAAAAAAATAAAAAAAATAAAAAAAAAAAATAAAATGTCATTAACGCGTCCGTTTAAACTTCAATCCGCGAACAAACACTGACTCTACATTCGCGTATGGCTATTATGGTTATATGTAGCAAGAGCTATTGGGCTCTGAGGAAAAAGTTTCTACGTGAAAAAGCACTGACTCGAATGGTGGCATCGCGCGCGGCCACGAAAATTCCTGAAAGAAATGCATTAATGGGGAATGTGGAATGGCGTGGAGTTATTCTCCCTGTCGAACAAATGTTAAGAAAATACTGCTGTACCTATGATGTTGTAACCATCCATGATTCCTCCTATTTATCATTCAAGTCAGAAATAAAACACCTATTTGATCTGCACACGGATGAATGTAATACATTATAACTATTATAAAGAATTCATAAACGATGCGAATGGAATACAGTAAAACTTGAAATATAACTGCGCCATCAACCTGCGCAGTCGAGTTGCGCATACCGACTGCGCATACTAACTGCGCCATCAGCCTGCGCAGTCGAGTTGCGCATGCCGACCGCGCATACTAACTGCGCATACGGACTGCACGACGATATGACGCACTAATTTCCGAATTTGCGTTTGAAAATTCAACGCAACTGTAATTACGACTCTTTCGTAAAAATAATAAAAATTATTGTTTAAGACAAAATTATCACGATGTTGTAAAATATTCGAAACCGAAATAATGTAATATGTGAATTATTTCGTTTTCTAAATCAAATATAACAAGATTTAATGAATATTTTTTCAAAATCTCAAATATAGTCATAGTTATATATTATAAAATGATACATGAAACAAATTACCAATAAAGTACTCACATACCCTTAATAAGTCTGACTTCGATATAAGAAATTCAGCATTACCATATTTTCACGAAGGCTTGGCAAATTTGAAGGCGAGCGAACATGGCGTCCGTACTTCGTTCTCAAACGCGTTCGTTAACGTCTGATGCATTCTACACCGTACTTACGATCAACCAATATACTGCACACACGAAAATCATAATTTAATACAAATATGCAAATGTACCACTAATTAGATTGAAATGTGAGAATAATCGTATTGAAATTTCGATTCAAAGACGCGATAATATACGTACCAGAGATTGGATCGCACGTCCAGTTGCCGCGACGTTCAAAAGGAGAATGACCCCACCCTATCATGGCGTTGCCTAGCCGTTAGCGGATTGGTCGAGAGACCTAGCTCTTCCCGCCATTTCAAAAGCCCGCGATAGCAGGAAGATTTGAACTTCGTAGAGGCTGTCTTGTCTGACAAATCACGTGACTGAGGCGTATATATCGTAGGAACCAGGATAACATACTGAAAAATTTGTATTTCGCTATTTAATGGTCGTAAATAATTTGCTTAATAACTACATAATGTAATTGGAAGGATTGTTGCCTTTAGCACGAAATAAAATTGCATTTTTTGAGAAATTATGTATTATTAATGTAAAATTATATATTATTAACATATAATTATAAAATTATATATTATTAATATATAATTATAAATTATATAAATAAATATATATAATTAATATATAATTATAAAAATATTGTACAGTAATATTACACATAATTATATTGAATACTATACAGTAATATTATACATAATTATATTAATATTACACAGCAATATTATACATAATTATATTAATATTGTACAGTAATATTATACGTAATTATATTAATATTATACAGTAATATTATACATAATTACATTAATATTATACAGTAATATCATACATAATTATATTAATATTATACAGCAATATTATACATAATTATATTAATACTGTACAGTAATATTATACATAATATTATACAGTATAAATATTATACATTATTTACATATTATTAATTATATGTATTAATTATATACATTAATAATTGTACATTACAATTTCTTTCGTACTACTACTTTTATGAACGTTCTTTATTCACATATAACATTGATCCACAGTAACTAAGTACTAATATTGAAAATGGTTCCGAATATTTGAAAATCCCAGCAACGAAACAGGTTTATTGATACAATTTATATGATCGTTTTGAACGACGTAGTGTTCACAAACCAAATAATGCAAATTGTGATAGTTACACGAATCTTTTACTTAAATAATGAAAAATCCAATAAATTGATTTCAAGTTATATGTGAATTATTAACACACCTTTGAAGTGACTTATATCGACCATTTCAAACTACGAAATGACTTGATACAAAATTCTCGAAACACGAAGATTTAATTTAACAATTTAACTTCTTTCCAGTTTTATCGAAAAGATTCTAAGAAATTATGTAATGTTTGCAAATTTTGTATCAGATATCAATAATGACACATCAAAAATACAATGCTAATCTTTTACGTTTATTGTACAATAATACATTAGGAATTACCAGCTTTCAATGAAAAGCTGTAAAGTCGGCCATTTGTCAATATGCCGTTCCTTCTTTGAAACTTTTACGCTATCAGGCCATTCCAGTCATCAGAGATTAATCTGTATAGAAAGAAAACGAAAATTTTAATCAAATGGTCAAAGCTAAATTCAAATATGTTAATAAAAGGTAATAGGCGATCGTCAGTTCTGTTACAACTCTAGTACCGATTACAGCGATATAACTCTAGTACCGAAATACAGTAATATGTCACAAGGACAATCAAATCAAGAAATCGACAAAAAATCTTACAACATTCTATGATATTTTACAATAATATCAAACATGTAATTAAAAAATGTTCAACGATTACACTAAAGGTTAACAATGTTCTAATAAAATGAAAGTACAAACGCACATTGAGTCTATCTTCGTAACATAATTAATGTTCGCCACTACCAAATACCGACATAGATTTCACGACTTTGGTTACAAACCATCACGGTGTCTGCTGCTCGTCCTCCAATACGACCGTTGGTGCGTTCAATGCGTTCTACGTGATCGTTGGAATTAATTAATAATCTGCAAGACCAGAAATCATAAATTTAGCATGAATGTGTAAAACTATCAGAATTTATATTAAAATGGGGGAATAGTCGTGCACGAATTTCAATTTAAAAGCTAAAGCAACCGAATGGAAAAATTGAATTTTAAAAAATTTGTAAAATTATTTGATTTTGCCAAAGTTACGTTCAAAAAGTTATTACATAAACAGATGTTAAGAAGATGAAGTTAGCAATCGTATATAAATGGTGAAAGGACAGAAATGAAAGTTCTCCACAATAATAAATGAAAAGAATACCTGAATTCGATCTCACGTCCAGTTACCACGACGTTCAAAAGGAAAATGACCCTACCCTATCATGGCGTCGCCTAGCAGTTAGCGGATTGGTTGAGAGATCTAGCTCTTCCCGCCATTTCCAAAGCCCGCGATAGTATGCAGATTTGAACTCCGTAGAGGTTCTCATGGTTGACGAATCACATGTCTGTGAATAGTATACAGAGTAAATCAGAATAACATGCGGCGAAATTGATATTCGATAATTTAATTCAGGTAAACAAAATTGTCTTGTGGCTGAACGAATGTAATAATGTTGTACAAATAGTATCAAAATAACCCTGCAAGTATTACGCAGCACGTATGCAATACACATAACGATGTCCTCTTACCATGATTTCCAGTGGCACAATGCTATCCAGCACTGTGAGTTAGCAAAACTGTTCCAAACAAAGAACGTCTAGGGGGTGCAGGCAAGCAAACAGGCAGCGAATGCTTCTCGGTCAAGGACAAATTTCATGCAGATTGGTATTTTTATACGCAATCTACAGTTTCGTTCGTTGAACTATAGAAATCAGGCGATCATAAGGAACCTCCAATGGCTAGCATTTTGCTGGATTCAATATTCTGTAGCAGGGCGAGAATCGTTTGATGAGCTTATTTCATAGCAAAGTCCAATATTCTGGAAAATATCACAGTCAAAGGTGATATATTTCAATCGTAAAAAAGAACTACAAGAATAATTACTTACATATAATTCTTGGATTCGAGGAAATGAGATTGATCTTGTGACTGAAAAATAAGTAAAAAAATAGTCAATAACAACATTTTAGATTCAGACAATACTGTGTTCTTGATGTGAATTTATTAATATGTGTTATATGTATTTATATTCCGTTGCAAAATGTTAATACGGAAATCGTATTAATCGTAACAAACAATGAAATAAATTTCTGTTTGGATGCACGTTTGCAAAACGTTCAATTTTTTATTGTTGTGCAAAAGAAACATCAAACAGAATTTAAACCGCAGCGTTATTTTGAAGACGAACGGTCAAAATTCTGAAAAAAATTATCGAAATTGATAGAGAAGAGTCTATTCTACGCAAACAAATCGAAAAATCCGAATCCACAACCGAAACCTGGAATATACAAGTGATAATACGAAACTATGTTAGTACACATTGATAACCACTTGTATTTCTGTCACTACTTTTTCCAAACCAACAATCAAAATCGAAAAGAAACTATCAAACTAATTACAAAAGACGCCATTCTAACGAAGTAAATAGAAAAATCGAAATCAAAGATCGAAATTTCAGAGATCTAAGCCACGAAAGATAACCACGCAGTACGATCCGTTACGCGCTTCCACTTTCGGCACTGTATTTCGAAAAAAAAACGGAGAAAATCGAAAAGAAACCACTGATTCTATTAGAGAAGAGTGAGATGTGTCGAGTGATGAAGAAAAATCGAAATCAAAAGTCGAAATTTCAGAGAACTAAGCCACGAAAGATAACGACGCAGTTCGATCCGTCACGCGATTCCACTTTTGGCACTGTATTTCGAAAAAAAAGGAGAAAATTGAAAAAGAACACTGATTCTATTAGAGAAGAGTGAGATCTGTCGAGTGATGAAGAAAAATCGAAATCAAAAGTCGAAATTTCAGAGAACTAACCCACGAAATATAACGATGTAGTACGATCCGTCACGCGCTTCCACTTTCGGCACTGCATTTCGAAAAAAAATGGAGAATCGAAAAAAAAAAAACTGATTCTATTAGAGGAGTGTGAGATCTGACGAGTGATAAAGAAAAATCTAAATCAAAAGTTGTTGGTGTATGAAAACTAAAGCGATAAAAATAAAAGTACTACACAACAAGAAGTCATGATAATATACTTACGTGATATTGCGTCATACGTCCTAACGATGGCACTTTCAATATTACATTGAAATTTACAGTATCGTCTAACTGTCAGCGCGGATTGGTCGAAAAAGGTAGCTGCCTCCTCCACTTTTAAAACCCGCGACAAGTCGAAGATTTGAACTTCGTAAAACTTTCATAGTTGACGCATCACATGTCTGCGAATAGTATATGCAGTAAATCAGAATAACATACGACGAAATTCATATTCGATAATTTAATTTAGGCAAAGAAAATTGTGTTTGTGGTTGAACAAACCTAGTAATGTTGTACAAATACTATCAAAATAGCTGTCGAAGTATTCCGCATCAGGTATGCAATATACATAACGATACGTCCGCACGCCATGATTTCCAGAAACACAATGCTACACAGCTTTGTCCGTTAGCAAAACTGTTCCGGTCAACGTTCGGGTGTCGATGCTTTGCCGGGGGGGGGGGGGGGGGGGGGGGGGGGGGAGGGGGGGGGCAGAGAGGGGTAAGGAATGCCACACAGTCAAGGACAAATTTCAAGCAGATGTTTTTATACACTGTTTACAGTTTCGTTCGTCGAACTGTAGAAAGTCATGGGATCATAAGGAACTTCTAATATCTTGCTTTTTGTTGGATAAAATATTCTGTACAAGGGCCAGAACCGTTTGATGAGTATATTTCATAGCAAATTCCAGTACTCTAAAAAATATTATCACAGTCAAAAATCGTATATATGAAACGTGAAAATGTATCACTGGGATATACACTTACATATATTTGTTCGATTTGAAGAAATGAAATTTCTTATGGTGATTAAGAAATAACTCAAACCAATAACAATATTTTAGATTCAGATAATACGATGTTCTTGATGTGAATGTATTATTAGGTGTTAATGTAAATACATACATATCGACTTCCGATGTGAAATATTAGTACGGTAATCGTCCCTAACCACGTCCCAACCTCCCTTCCTTTCATACTAAAATTAACAAACAAATAAATTTATCTTTTGATGCACGTTTGCAAAACGTTCAATTTTTGATCGCTGTGCAAATCAAACATCAAAAGAATTCAAACAAAAAACCGACACGGAAGGATAAACCTAGAAGTAAAAGATAAATTGAACCTGGAAATAAATAGATAAATTAAACCTGTAAATAACAAATAAATTGAACACAGAAGTAAGAGAAAAATTAAAGCTAGAAATAAAAGCGAAATTAAACATAGATCGTAAACGAATTATCCTACAATATGTAACTCTTGCACAGCTTCAATTCTAAAAAACATATAAGAATCGATAATTAGAAAGATAAAGAAAACGCAGGTGATGTTTCGTTCATACAGCAACACACTACATGTATATTGGACTGAAAATAAAGATTAGTAGACAATTAAATAATTAAAAGAAAGACAAAGAAAAATGAAATATCTCCCAAAGCATTAAACATATCCTACTTACTTAATAGTACCCAACACTACTTAATATTGCCCACTTCATGCAACACTTCATGCAACACAAATACTATATAATTTTACTTAACTTAAAGACTAATGTACCAGCACAGATCTTATAACTAGTAACTTATAACTAACTTAATCATAACCCTAACTCAACATAAACACACATAACCATAAATTATCATTAATTTCCGAATAGAGTGCATATTTGAAAAACTAATTCACCGTCTATTCAATATCTAAAGGAAAGAGAAACCCCAACCAACAAAGAAAATTCAAAGATAATGAATACGAGGGAAAATAAGTGTGACTTACAGCCTCGAGTAATCCAAAGAACCTAAAACAAAAATAGTCAGCCCTACATACATCGAAATTAAAGATATTTAAAAGTACCAAGCATAGGGAGATTAAGGATATCTTTCACAGTATCGTATCAAAAATCAGATGAATTTTTATAAAGCCTTTACCTATCACAAATCTAGGGGGTTTCGACATAATTGACCAGTCGTAAATCTAGAGGGTTTTCGCAAAACCTTCTCATCATAAATCTAAAGAGAATTTTAAACACCCTATATACACAAGGAACCAAGGATTCGATCAGAAAAGTCTGAATATTAAAGATACATTGCGTGGAGGTTGAAACCAATCACACTCTTCCCGTTGGCACCATAACGTTTCCTAAGCACAATACACTGTGGAAAAAATAGTGAAATTATTGTAAATAATCATCTACATGATTATAAATAAAAATTGTGGTAATGATAATAAACAAATAAATGTGGCACATACATTACTTTCCATTACGTCATTTCCTCCTATGAACGTTATTTCACTTCTGGGCATCTGGCATACTCACATAAGTTCATATATTTGAAATGCTGTTGACATGGTAATATGAAAAGGTTCTAGACTAATAAATCTGAAACAAACTTCATTACTGGATTAATAGTTGGAAAAACAGAATAAAACAATGATTCCTGAAAGAAGACAAAGCACATATTAACAAGAATTACAACAACAGTGAAAAATATTTTGTCAAAACATGCAATCGAAATAATCACACTTTTATTGCAACGCATTTGCATTTATTTTTATAGACAAAAATAATAAATTTTCCCGCACACGAAAAAAAAATTGCAACTTTTATTAGGTTCACGAAGAGTCGAATTGCACAACACAAAGCGACTATAATGCAAAATTTGTGTCTCGCAAAATAAACGAGTATCGAGAATGAATTTTCTTTTAATGAGAAAAATTAAAATGAAAGATTGAGGAAATCTTAAAATGATTCCTGAAATAACGGGAACGCTTAAAAAGGGATAAAAATGAAAAACAGACATATACATATTACAGCAGTACCTTCATCAGCAAATATTTCAGTAACAAAAGGGTGCTGAAAAAGAAAATACAATGGTAGCCAAAATAGCCACAAAAACAAATATTTCCACTGAATATGAACCCGGGAAAAAACCGTGAGTGGAATAAATATGTTGTAATTTCGCAACACTAACTTACTAAATTGTCCGATAACGGACAATTTTCAAAATCAACCGCGAAGAGTGCTTCCTGATATTTAAAATAATAATTAATTTAGCATTTACGAAAAAAAGGAACATTAAAAAGAAAAATAAACAAAAAAAGGCAGAGAACTCGCGAAAATGATCATAATAATAAGATATTTTAATTATTAGCGCAACACTAATACAAACTAATTTATGCACTCGTCTCAAAAAAAATCGCA